AAACAGTTAAACATGAGAGGTTTTTGGACAAAGTTTGTGTTTTTTCCATTGTTTAAGCACTGCTTCCAGCCAAGAGTGATGCCATATATGCCCCATAGCTGCAGAAAAGGCTAACATTGTTATCTTTTTACAAAAAACAGCTGAACATGAGAGGTTCTTGGACAAAGTTTGTGTTCTCCATTCTTTAAGCACCGGTTCGAGCACCGTTTAAGCACCGGCACCGTTTCAAAAGCACCGATTTGGCACCGGTATCGGATAAAACCTAAACGATACCCATCCCTAGTCATATGTCCATGTGGGAGTGGTGGCTGTGATTTCTCCTTTTTTGCCAACACTCAGTTCATGTTTTAGACATGATTCCGGGTCAAAATCCCTTTTGTAATGTTTCTAATAGTCTTCGTTTTAACAAAAAATAAATACACTGGAGATGCTAATTACTCATTTAAAACTACGGTAATGCTAAGTGAATGAATGCTATACAGCATGAACACAACATGTACAAGATGAAGTCTGCAAGTTCAGCTTTGCTCCTGACGTCAACTATTTGTTGTGTTTTGTTCCTACATGGTTTGAATCCACTGACCATAAGAGAGATAACATATCTTTGACGGACCTGCACAGCAACACACCTAACATGCAACCCTTCAACCGTCTTAAGATTAGGACGTACCGATGCGCAGCATGAAATTGTTGAATGATTGGTAGTTGATGTTCATAAGTGTAACCTTCATGGCCAGCGCAAAGTCTGCGAGGTCTGCCAGGTGCTGCCAGCGCTCGGTGTCCGACAGCTCTTCCTTCTGTCAGGCAAAAGCAAATTCAGTTTTTTACTTGGTTAAATGCTTCACTTTGTAAACAGCTCTTTACTGTATTATAAATCTGGATTATTGGTTTGGGTTCTTCTGTGTAAAAACAACCAAGCAGATAACTGGGAGTGAGCGTCTTTTTTCCTGGTGACGAACTTTGAACCACCAAGCAGTTCAGTCACGTGAGTCCATTTTCTTAGGCTATTAAATTCAGCCTTTAATTTTTCATCATTCTCTGTTGTGCTTGTATTCATAATGATATTAACATTAATGCTTGTATAAGCCTCTCACCTCAGCATTAAACTATCACTAACTCGTTCTGTCAGCGCCTCACTCTCACCTAAAACGCGAAAATAAAACCGTTGAACCTTAAAACGAGGCTTTCAACAGGAAAATAAAAGGTCACATCTCTGTGTGGGACTGGTCAAATCACATTGTAATGTGACCAGATTTGACCAGCCAAATGGCCTAAACGTGAGCATTGAATCCTAAAACAAGGATTTCAACGGGTGCAAATAAAATGGCCGGTGTCCTGCAGGGTTTAGACGTGTCCTTGATCCAACACAGCTGATCTAAATGGCTGAATGACCTCCCCGACATGTGCTGAAGTTCTCCAGAGGCCTGGGAATGAGCTCATCATGTGATTCAGGTGTGTTGACCCAAGGTGAGATCTAACACCTGCAGGACACCGGCCCTCGAGGCCTGGAGTTGGACACCCCTGATGTAAATACTGACTCACTACTCAAAATGCCTAAAATGAACACAAATTCTACGTATATCTAGAATGTGGCCCACAAAAAAACCCAAAGCCTTAGCTCATTTAAACTTTGTAGCTCAGGTGGTGGAGCAGGTCACCTGCTTATCAGAAGGATGATGGTTTGATGCCCATCTGCTCCAGTCTGCATGACTAATATCCTTGGAAAAGCTACTGAGCCCAGTTTGGAGTGTGAATGGGTGAATGAGGCGTGTAAAGTGCTGTGTGTGATCAGTTACAGTAGATAAGCAGTAGATTACATGCATCCCTGGACGTCTCCACTGCAAACACCAACCTCTGGTGAAGCTGACGTCGATTTTTCTTTCAAGATGACCAAACTGTTGATCTGATAAATCATTGCCAAAAGTCAGAATGTCGACACTGACTGTGGCTCTAGCTCAGGAGGTACAGCAGGTCGCCTTGGAAGGTTGGTGGTTCAATCCCTGGCTCCTCCAGTCTGCATGTCAAGTATCCTTAGGCAAGATAGTAACCCAGAGCTGCTCTCCGATACATCCATCGGAGCATGACTGTGTGTGAATGTAGTTAGATAAGCATAAAGAAAGTGCTTGTGTGAATGGGTGAATGTGGCAAGTTGTGTAGAGCGCTTTGAGTACTCGGGAGAGTAGAAGAGCGCTATAGAAGAACCAGTCCTTTTACCATTACTAAGCTCCACTAGTTTGTGCGTCGGGACAACCATGTGGTCTGTGGTGTGCGACAGCATGCGACTTTGTTCTGGAAAGATTAGACTGGAAAACGCAGCAGCACACAAACGCAGCCTGTGCTCTAACACGACTGTGTCGACCAAAGCTCGTTTATCCAAAGTGAAAATGCAATAAAGCATCGCCTCAACATCAAACCTGAGGGACACATTTTAGACTTAAGGATGTCGTCACCACAATAAGGACATCAAACCTATTATCTATTAGCACTCAACACGTAATTTAACTCTCCATTATGCTCAGTGCACGGTCAGTAATCTTCCATTATTATAGCCTTAATTAGAACATAGGTTACATTTGTCTTATATCCTTGTCGAGTGAGGTGGTTTTTTCCTTAACTGTCCAATTTAAATATTTCTTTATATTCATAGTAAATCAGATAGATTATCATTACATTTGTTGTCAAACTAACTGAACTAACTAAAGAATCTGCAACATTTCACTGATTGTTTATTAAGACTTCAGCCTTTAAATTCCTATAAATTATGAAAAATCTACGTTACCATGGAAATAACTGAGTTACAGGCTGTCTCAGCTGTGCCCTCTGCACTACAGTAAACTGTACCTGCATCCTAATCAGATCATCTTAATCAAATTAATATTTCCACAAAGAGAGTTGCACCAAACCTGCAGCAGATCTAGATCTATTCACACTAAGATGCAATTATGTTGGCTCGGTCAGCCATGACACACACTGAAGCTGAAGAAGTCATGTGACCACACTGACCTTGATGGAGTTGTAACCGTTGCTGACGTCCGGGGTGACACCTGACGCTGCCATGTATGTGCTGCCAATAGTCTTGATTTTTGTAATGCAGCGAAACTGAGGCTCATCCAGCAGCTGACATGGAGACAAGTGGGAGGTTGTGTTACTGACAATGAAAGCACAGACAAACATGCTGCAACCATTTTTAAAAAGCACTGCACCCTGGCCATCTGAGCAACTTACATTTCAACTTCATCTCACCACAAAACGGACATATCGAGGTGTTTGTAACTGTTTTCAATATTACTGTACCGTCAGGGGTCTGCTATCACACAGCTGAAAGAAAACATGAACGTTTGGGAATTAAACGATTTCTGCAATGACAACATGTAGATGTGGTCTGATCACCATCCAAGTCATACTTAGAGACTTCAAGTAAAATCAGATTTAAACTAATGTACAGAAACTTTTATGGTTCTTGTGTCTTTTTCATCCACGACTCTTTCTAGTGCACGAATCACAGCTGGAATCACTGCAGAACGTCAGCGAGCTCACAGTTAAGGTCACGTTATGTAAACCAATTTGGCTTGGTTAAAGTTGGCAGTCATCTCCAAGCCATTTTCTAACCCACCTCCACCACAACCCCACCTGTATTAGTTATGCTGCAATATGTGTAGGCTGCTGGGGGATTCCCATGATGCACTGGGTGTTAACAGACCTCTCTGCATTGAATCATATCTGTTATTAACCTCTGTCTCTCTTCCACAGCATGTCTTTATCCTGTCTTCCTTCTCTCACCCCAACCAATCACAGCAGATGGCCCCGCCCCTCCCTGAGCCTGGTTCTGCCGGAGGTTTCTTCCTGTTAAAAGGGAGTTTTTCCTTCCCACTGTCGCCAAAGTGCTGCTCATAGGGGGTCATATGATTGTTGGGCTTTTTCTCTGTATGTATTATTGTAGGGTCGACCTTACTATATAAAGCACCTTGAGGTGACTGTTGCTGTGATTTGGTGCTGTATGAATAACACTGAATTAAAATAAAATGGAATTATTGCTGTATCTGACTTAATCTTTGCTCTATATGAGCTCTAGAGACCGGCCCACCAGGTATTACAGGAAAAGCCATAAAGAATGAAAACAGACGCTGTGGTGACAGTGATGCACAGTCTTGTTGGTATATGTATGATTTCTATACATTTTACATCAGATAAAAACTTTGGTTGTAAGATTCAGATAATTATTTAATAACAGCAAAACATTTTAAATGAGAATAAGAAAGAAAAGTATGTCTCTGTGCCCCCCTCTCCCTGTTAATGCCCTACCTTCCCCCTGGCAACACTTTGCTAGACCCGCCCCTGCACAGTTACCAGCTGTCAGCTACTTAGAAAAGGATCCTGGTGTTATTTGTCTCTCAGAAACAGTTCATAACTTCAACTCATCCATGTCACCTAAAAGGTAAACCTGTTTCTCCATCACCTGTTCAGCTCTGATGGTTCAGTAAGGACATCTCCTGGTTTCATCTTCATGTTTCCAAACCAACATCATGACCAGCAGCTTTACAGCTGTGGCTCCAGCAAACATCAGCTGATACTAGAAATTAATATTAAATTCTAACAACAGCTGATCAAACCTGCTGCTGTTGTTTAGCGCGACGTTCGCTGGTTTCCTCTTTCTGGCGCAAAGTGGCTGATGTTTTGTCCCAGTCCAGCCCTGGGCACGACACGCACTGAGTTAATCTGAGAGGTGCATTAAAAAATAAATGGCCGGGCCAGCGGTGCACATCGCAAATTGCAGCACAACTAATGTGTCCCATAGACACATTCTTAATGACGGTATCTTAGCTAACGACCCCAACTACCAGATTCAACTTGTAACTGGCTAAAAATCACTTAGCCTAGCGGTGACAGGGACGTTGTTAGCTGGTCGTTTTTTCAAGAGATGTTGAAATTTCCACGTTCCGACACTTCAAAAGCTTCAGCAGCTGTCGGCTCAGCGCAGCATCAGCACCGCGGAGATACACGGATACATCCGTAGACTCGAGACAGAATTCACGATGTGTTTTCAGGACTTTCAGCTGTTTGGACCAATGTTTTCTTTTCTGATCAAACCAGAAGCTTTAATGAGCAGCTGGATTCGTCTCGCATTAACTGGCTCGACACATCGAAATGCAGCCGATTGAACTGAACAGCTCGACTCTGTGGGGTCAAAGTTTGCAGAACTACGAAGCAGCTGGAATCCACAGCTGTGCGTGTTCATGGAGCTGCATGTTCACCTGCTGGACGTCACTACCTGACAGGTTTAACTGTCTTCAGAACATTGCAGAGGCCTTATTGACAGTGTTTGGCTCCACACGTCTGTGTGAGCAGGTTTTCTCTCACATGAGTCCTCAGGTCTGAACGCTGGACACTGGGAGACCTGTGTCTCTGAGTGGGAGACCAGAGATCACAGTAACACGTGTGTCTCTGTATTAACAAACATGCCATATTGGCCCAGTTTATTTTTCTTATCATTGTTGTGAGGAGACCATAAACAGCATTTGGATTTTCTGTTGTTCAGTTCATTTGCTGTTATGGATAAAAAGTCTGTTTTTGTTTCTAAATAGCTGAGAACTATTTGCTGACAGCTGCAAACATCTGTGAACAAACATAATCCTATAACGTTGTTCTATATAGTGAGTAACTGTTCATATAGAGCGTTATTACATTTATTGCTAATGCAGTCATACGGCACGCTGACCTCTGAGGAAATGTTAGATGCACTCATCATCAGAAAGGTTGCCGACCCCTGCTCTAAAAGCATGCATTACAAATATTACAGCACATACATATCATAGTTCAAATGCTATCTGTAATATGTTTTGTGACGACCCCAATGAAAGCCAAAAGCTCCACATGTGGCTTTAACCTCTTCCATAATAAAGCGATGGGCAGGATAAGGTCAATAAGTAGTATTTTCAACTATGTGTCATGAAATAATCTGAGACTAAAGTCCCAGAGCAGTAGAGATAGAACTGACCTGATCTGATTTCTTGAAGAAATCAAACCTGTATGACACTGAGGAAAAAAGGTTCCTTACACTGTCAAAGTCTGAGATGATCTCGTTGAGAAAGCGCAAGCATTCGATGCCTCCATTATTGATGCTCTCCTCTGTGTAAAAGTCAGAGAAGTTGGGGATAGAAGCGAACATGACTCCGATCTCGTCATATGACTGGCTGTACAGCTCCTGGAACAGAACGGATCATTAGTGTGGACAGAAAAGACTTCTGACAGTCACAGTGAGTTGAGGATGTGTTATCAGCGAGCCTCTTACCTCGTCCCTTTTCTTGGATCCTAGGAAGTGTCGAGCCACATGTTCAGGCAGCATGTTGGTCACCAGCGCTTCGTTCCAGCGCCGCATCTCATACACCTTCTCCTTTTGCTCATGAACCTCAATCTTCCAGAGGAAGAGGGTACGGGCAAGCTTCTCCACCTTCAGGTGCCAACAGGTTCTCATGTTAGCAATAGCCAACTGCGAGCAATGAAATGCTAAAATGTTGCACATTAGCAAACTGCAGGGGAAAAACTGCCGTGAAGTCATAACGCTGTAATATAAAACTATTGTGCCTAAAGATATATTACTGACATGTATTCAAATAAAAGGACCAGCCAGCGCTTTGTGAGCCTGTGTCACATTTACAAGCAGACTACGAAACAGGAGAAGACACCGGCATTATGGAAAACATCCTGTCGAAATCTTGTAGCAAAGACGATGGGAGCTAACTGACTATCAACATGTGATGAAGAGACTAGCCTTGTGCCACCTAAGAGCTTAGATCTAATTCATAGATTTTTCTAGTGCATTTAACATCATCCAGCCACTGCTTTGGTGTGAGACTCCACCAGAAGTATGAGTAAAGACATCCACCTGACAGACAGCCCACAGACTGGGTAGAGCTCTGCCTGATTTGGTAATGCGAGCGCCAAAAGGTCCTGAGTCGCCTTGGTTCCCGTTCGTCTTGTATAAGTCAGTATATCCATTCTTATTTTTGTGATTATGCTTAATTTTATTTGTATTAATACTACTACTTCATCATTTCAACTGCTGTCAAAAGTATTAACAAACAAAGTAGTTACAGTGTTCTCTCATTTGTTATCATCATGACTCCTGACGACCCACAGACCCACACGCAGCAGGTTTTTCAACTCTCATGCAAATGAGAACTTCCCTCTGGGATCAAAGTTCTTCTTACTCTTAGACACTGCTGGTTTTAGGGATAAAGAATCATTTAAAAAAGTATCAGCTGTGCATTATGTCCAATTACCATAAAATGATCTTCAATAATATTTATGGGCTTGGAGCTGAAGTATTTACCAGTAAACATGACAAAGAACTACAGATACTACAGCGCAGTACTACACAATACAACACTACATAAAGCATTTCCTTTACTTTAGTGAAGACAATAGACAAGCTTAACTTACATGTCTGGAGAAGTAATAGAAGCTAACCATCATAATGAAGATCATAACTGTCATCGCGAATTTAGATGGGACCAGGTACGACCTGCCAAAAACACAACAGGGAAACAACAACAGTCTGAACATTTCTTCTGTGTATTTTCCACAAGAAAATGTTGTTCCAAGACCTGTAGACACACTGGAGCTCTAGACAAACGCTCCTATGTTACCCTAGCACGAGTACAAGGCAGGTAACATCCATGCCCCACTGCTGGGGCCTGTGCCTGCTGTCACAGGGACAGGGTAACGTAACAGGCACATATCAGAATAAGAGCCTGAACCCACCAATGGCAGAGCAAGCTGTTTTATACTGGAACAGCTGACTGCGTTATTTATATACATATTGCAAATTTCTCAAACACCAGTTGGAGTCCACAAAGTGGCCCAAAGTTGGGAAAATGGGCTGGAGACAAAGTGGATTATGTTCTGCACAAAACACACTGACATGAAACTGAGACTTGAATACACACACACATGCACGCACACACTCACACACACTCACACACACTCACACGCACATGCACGCACACACTCACACACAC